GGAGGAGGAGGAGGAGGAGGAGGAGGGGAGGAAAATGGCAATAAATAGATATCTACCAACAATTGAATCTAAAAATCAAAATAAACAAACAAGGAATCTAATGGACAAAGTAAACTGATGAATAAAATAGAACTAGAGGCATGAAAACATGGAACAGACTGACAAATCTCAGAGGGAAGGGGGAGCCGGGGAGAGGTTAACCAAAGATCTTACATGTATATATGCATTACCTATGGACATGAACAATAGGGTGGTGAGGCCTGGGGCGGGGTGGGAACAAGGTGGAGGGGGCAATGGAAAGGGGAAAGGGAGACATCTGTAATACTCTCAAAAATAAAGATTTTTAAAAATATATTTTTAAAAAGGATCTTAAATAAACAACCTAACTTTGCATTTCAAGAAACTACCAAAAGAGAGAAAATAAAGCCCAAAGTTAGAAATAAGAAAATAAAGATCAGAATGGAAATAAATGAAATAGAGACTAAAAAGACAATAGAAAAGATCAATAAAACGAAGAGCTTGTTTTTTAATGATACAAAAAAATCACAAACCTTTAGCTAGCTAGGCTCACCAAGAAAAAAAGAGAGATGATTCAAATTAATAAAATTATGAACGAAAGAGGTGTTACTATTGATACCACAGAAATACAAAGGATCATAAGAGATGACTATGTAAAGTTAAACTCCAACAAATTGGACAACTTAGAAGAAACAGATAAATTCTTAGAAACATACAGCCTACCAAGACTTCATGGTGAAGAAATAGAAAATCTGAAGAGATGGGTTGCTGGTAAGGAGATTGAATCAGCAATCAAAAACCTCCCAACAAACCAAAGTCCAGCAACAGACAGCTTCACGGGTGAATTCTACCAATAACCTAAAGAATAATTAATATAAATAATTTTCAAACTCTCCCAAAAAAATAAAAAAGGAAGGGACACTCGCAAACTCATTTTATGAGGACAGCATTACCCTGATTCCAAAATCAGACAAGGACATTACAAGAAAAGAAAATTATAAGCCAATATTTCTGATGAATATAGATGTAAAAATCATCAACAAAATCTTAGCAAACCTAAAAGCCTCCCAACAAACCAAGTCCAGCAACAGACAGCTTCACAGGCGAATTCTACCAATAACCTAAAGACTAATTAATATAATTTTCAAACTCCCCCAAAAAAATAAAAAGGAGGGGACACTCGCAAACTCATTTTATGAGGACAGCATTACCCTGATCCCAAAATCAGACAAGGACATTACAAGAAAAGAAAATTATAAGCCAATATTTCTGATGAATATAGATGTAAAAATCATCAACAAAATCTTAGCAAACCAAATTAAATGTTAAAAGGATTATATACTATAATTAAGTTGGATTTATTCCAGGGGTGCATGGGTGGTTCAACATCCACAAATCAATCAATAGATGCCAGATTTAGCCCTAAAATTGTGTCCCTAACAGAGAGATTACATTGTCTAGCATCTTTCTATCCCTTTCCCATCTTTATACCTTAAGTGGCCTCTTGAGCCTAATTATATTTTGCCATGAGAGCAATTGTAAGAATCTCATATCTATAGTGACTGTATGAAAAACTGGTGCTTTCTCCAGATTGCTAATTGGAGCTGACATAATGGTCTCTTGCTATTCAGGTGTTGGGCTGAAAATATGAGATGGCCACTTTCCTAGCCGAGTGGGAAATGCTGACTCCCGCAGGAGAAAATAAGAGAAATGAACAGGGAAAAGCAGAAATCAGAGAGACAGACAGGGCACAGCAGAAAGCAAATGCACACAAAGAGAAAGGGGGACAGAGAGGCAGGGAGACAAACAGCATAAGGGAGAATATAGACAAAGGGAAAGACCATGGAAGACAGAATGACAGAGAAAGGAAAAAGCCAGCAAAGCACATAGGCCAACAGACTGAGAAACAAAGAGGTGGGCAGAGAGACATCCTGAGAGAAAGACACAGTAAATACATATTCATGGGAGAGAAAGGGTCACAGAGTGAGAAGGAAGGAGAGAAATAGAAAGAGAGAAATTCACAGAGATATGGATATTAGGAGAAATGCAGATACAGAGACAGAAACGCCATCTGATAGATAAACAGTACAAGAGCGGGTCATTCAGACAGACAGGGATGGCAAGAGAGATATGAGAGAGAGACAAAGAGAAGCAGCAGACAGAGCGATACGGGATAGAAGGGGAAAGAAGCACACTGGGAGAAGGGAGGGAGCACAGAGGGGAGGAGAGAGGAAGGAGGGAGCCAGAGGGAGGAGGGATAAAGACCTCGTTTGAGTCCTGGGATCTAGCCATTTTCTGAAGCCAAACTCACATAATGAACTTTCAAATCTCATGAACCCAAAAAACTAATTTTTTCTCTTAAGCTGGCATTAGTAGAGTTTTCATCATATGCAACTAAAAAAGTACTAATAAAACCTCCATTGCTAATTACAGTGGGTGGGTCATATTCAGTTAACAATCATTGTTTTCCCCACTGTACACAGGGCCCTTGACAGGAAAAGTTTATGCTGTTGGTTCCATCCGTTACACCACTAGGCATCATATGCCAGTCAGGTGCACAAATGCGTGAAGCTCATAGACCATAGTGGGAGCCAGGAGAGGCACGAAACCCCAGACCCAAGGGCCCTGGAGGGTGGAAACCTGAATTTGTTTCATACCTAATGTCCCATTCTTTTTTTTTAAATCATCACCCAAGGATTTTTTCCATTGATTTCTAGAGAGAGTGGGAAGGAGGGAAGAGGTGGAAAGAGAGAGAGAGAGAGAGAGAGAGAGAGAGAGAGAGAGACATTGACATGAGAGAAACATGAGAGAGATACATTGATTAGTTGCCTCCTGCACATGCCCCTACCGCACACACCCCTACCGGGACTGGAGAACCTACAACTGAGGTGCGTGCCCTTGACTAGGAATTGAACCCGTGACCCTTTAATTTGCAGGCCGACGCTGTAACCACTGAGCCAAACCAGCCAGGGCTCATGTCCCATTCGTATGTGGCCCCTGAGTTATACCAAGCATGGAGACCCATGGTTTCCTAGTCTCCTTGCCTGGATAGTACCTTCTTTGGAGCGTAACTGAACTTGAGAATCTGACCTTTGTTTTGCTCAGTGTCTCCCCCCACACACACCCCACACACACACACACAATAGGAGGAAGGCATGGAAAAGGAAATGTCAGATAATGTAAAATACAAAAGTACATCTTTTTAATTTTGAAAAAAAAATTTATTGAAAGAAAAGAGCTTGGCGCTGAACTCAGGGGCTGTCTTCAGGAAGAGCAGGATCTGAAACGCCATTGAGAATGGGCATTGGTTCAGACAGACATGGCGGGCAAGAGCCTCCAGCACCGGGTGCAAACCAGTCACAGGCCACGCAGCAAAGACAGAACCAAAGGAAGGCCGGCAGCTGCCTCTCGGTCTCTGGGGGCAGGACCTGGGGTGACAGCTGGCACAGGCGGCTTGCTCACCGGCCTGGTGGAGGGGAGGCTGGGACCCTCGGACGAGGTAACAGCAGGTCAAGGCCAAGGAGAGGCGGTGACGAATCCAGGAAGAAGAATGTCTGGGTCAGTGCAGAGCCTTGGAGGAGAGAGAGGAGGGCGTCGGCAGCCACAGGTCCCTGAGTAAACTGGCCCTGCCCCGCTCGGGCCCGTCGCCTCGCCCGCCAGCAAGCTCAGCGGCACTTTCTGCCATTTGGACGCGGGGGCACCATGCAAACCTCGCTGCAGGGCTGGTGCCAAGGCCGGGTCTTAGTCTGGGAAATGACCTCCGAAGTCGCCCGCTTAGACTATGCAGAACGTGCCAGAGTTTCCCCGGCCCGACTCACATGAGAACGCATGTGGCTGAAGCAAGGACAGCACAACGGGAGCCGGTCAGTGTGCAGACAAGCCCACCCACTCCTTTCTATCTCACCTGAGTCACGTATCTGCGGGAAGAGTGGGAACGTCACCTGTGGGCGGGGCCTCGAGGCCTCCTAACCTCGGGAAGAAGGAAAAGAAAAGGGAAATTCATTGGCCTGGCGAGAGGGACACTGCACCTGCCTCTCCTCTCCCCCTCCACCAGGGAATGCAAGAGCTCCCGGTCTGTCCTCACCTACCCAGGCCCATAAGGCTTCCACGCCATAAGGTGAGGCCCCCCAGCCACGCAGCCAGTCACCTAGGGAGGCGACAGAGCCTGCGCGTGCTTCAGGCAGGGAGCTCAGAGCAGGAAGTCCCATCTAATAACTGCCCGACAGCTGTGAGGACAGCGGTGAGGACAGCGGTGAGGACAGCGGTGAGGACAGAGGTGAGGACAGAGGTGAGGACAGAGGTGAGGACAGCGGTGAGGACAGCTGGAGAGCTGCTCTCTCTGCCTGAGAACGAGCCTTCACCGTGCACCTGTGTGAAGAAGCAAGCCTGGACCGGGGAGAGAGCGAGTCTCCCAGTCCCTGCAGCTCCCGCTGACCCCCCAGCCCTTCCTTTCAGGTCGGTAGGCGCGTTCCCAGCACCAGGCTCCCACTCGCTCCCCACCGGCCTCACCTGTCTTCTTCCAAAGGTGGACGACAAGGCCCAGCCCCAGGAAGGCCAGCCCCAGCACAAAGCCCCCAATTCCACTCAGCATCTTGCTCTGGGCAGATTCAGTCTGCGCCCCTGGAAAGTAAAAGCCTGCAGGTCAGTGTCTGTCCCCACACTCCACTGTGTCCTCATCTGGAAGCCCTGAGTCTAGTCCAGGTCAAGGCAGGAGGAGCTCTGGAAGCAGACAGAGGGTCCGGGGCAGCAGGGACCCAGGAGGCAGCAGGGGCCCCAGGAAGCAGCACAGATGGGTGGGGTGTAGGGGTGATGGCAGCTTCTCAGGAAGTGCGTCCACCTGGAAGCCCACAGACCTTCCCCGAGAGACCAGCATTAATGTTGGAGCCCGGCTCTTGGGAGACACAAGCCCGGGCTGACCTGCAGCTGGGGAGTGGGTTAGTACAGGGATGGCCACGTCTTGGGGATAAGGGGACCTCAGTCTTCCATGATCCCAACCCAGAAAGTAGGTGGCCAGAGCTAAGGGGCAACCCACCCGCCAGGCCCAGGTCCTCCCTGCCTCTGCGCTTCCCATCCGGGTGCCATGAGGAGCCCTTACTCCACTCCACTGTGATGGGGCTCTGGAGGCTGGGGTGCTCCACGCGGCAGGTGTAGACATCCCCCTGCTGGGGGGTCATTTCCAGCATCACCAGGATCTGGAAGGTCCAGTCCCCGTTATGGATCAGATTGGTGGACACGACCCCCGCCGTTTCCTCCTGTCCATTCAGGAACCAGCGGACTTGAACGTGGCCGGGGTAGAAATCGGTCACGTGGCAGACAAGCAGGTCGGGGTGCTGCAGGGGCCCCTTCTTGGAGGGGGACACGTTCACTTTCCACTGGGAGGGTGACCAGGAAGAAGACGTGAGGCCGAGAAGGGATCTAATGTGGTTGCCCAAGATCCCGGTGGTCCTGGGGGTTCACTTTCCTGGGAAAAGTGGAGGCAGGCCGGGGAGGGGCTCTGGAGGCTGAGCGCTCCCCTCCCCCGCCCAGGCCCTCCTCTCTCACGGCAGCAGAGGGACACGGGTTTCAAATCATCTTCATTAGAATCCCCGCCCTGGGTATGAACCGGCTACCAATAATTTGTAAGCCTGCTTTCTAGGGAAATAATACCTTTACTCGGTGTTTGCTTGTTTATTAAACAGGATAATTTATGTGAAACTCTTTGCAACATGGACTGATCATTTTTAAGCTCTGCGTGTGTGCATATCCCTACACACATGTGCACAGCGCGGGGACCAGCTCTGACCCGCCACAGGAGCCCAGCAGGGGGCCCGTGGGCAGGGCCTTGTGACCGAGGGAGGACTGAGTTCCGAGCAGGGACCCTTAGCGCTGCCCAGGCAGAGTTCCTCCCGCCTGGATGCCAGGCCCCTCCCCGGCCTGCCTCCACTTCTCCCGGGAAGGTGAACCCCAGGACCACCGGGATCTTGGGCAACCACATTAAATCCCTTCCCGGCCTCCGCGCGAGGCTGCGGCGAAGAGCCGCCCGCCCACCTCGCCTCTGCACAGTGAAGGGAGACATCTCCTTGTAGTTGTGTCTGCACAGCACGTCCACCTGCGCCCGGTACACCAGCAGCAGGTCCTCCTGGCTGTTCCAGCTCTCGGCGTGGGGCCGCCCCAGCTCCGTGACAGCCACGAACACCCCCACGTCGCTGTCGAAGCGCACGATCTCCTGTCGGTTGTAGATTTCGGTGGCCACGAGCCGCACGCGCTGCGTCCCGTTGGTGAAGTAGCAGGTGCCCTTAAACTGGTACACGAAGTCCTCTGCGGTGGGGTGGAGGAGGGGGGTGCGGGGATGGGAGGCCTGTGTCAACCACCCACTCGGCGGGCGCTGGGGAAGGGAGACACCAGTACAGCCACGCGGCTCAATAAAACCTGCTCTCAACCCCCCGAATTTTATCCCCAGGAAGGAGTTCAATGCCTTCTCGGCCTCAAGTCCTGAACTGAGCATTTATTAGAGAAAACCGAAGGTCAAGCAGGAAAACCAATGGAACAGTGAATGATTGGTAACGAAAAGATAAAACTGTCAGTATTTGCATATAAGGGATCTGTGAATAAAGAAATCCAAACAATCTATTGCTAAATGGATGTAAAACGATAGTTTAGCAAGTAGCTTCATACAAGATGTATTTTAAAACATTATATAGACCAAGAATAATTTTTCAATTATTACCACATCAAAAAAAATTTATCTAGGAATAAGACCTACAAAAGATATACAAGATTTCTTGAAGGAAATAATGAAATTTTATGAGATATATTAAAAGATTCCCAAATAAATAAAAAGATATATTTTGAATTGACTCAGTATATTAAAGATGACAATTATGCTAAGTGAATTAATGGATTTTATGCATAGCAATTAAAATTCCTACAGTTTTTTATTATTTAAAACTTTACAAGATGATTCTAAAATTTTGTTGTTGTTGTTAATCCTCATGCAAAGATATTTTTTCCATTAGTGTTTTTAGAGAGAGTGGAAGGGAGGGAATGATGAGAGTGAGAGAGACACATCGATGTGAGAGAAATACATTGATTAATGTCCTCCCACATGTGCCCCAACCATGGCCGGGGATCGAACCTGCAACCCAGGTATGTGCTCTTGACGGGGAATCGAACCCGTGACCCTTAGGTGTGTAGGCCTACACTCTATCCACTGAGCCACACCAGGGAGATTCTAAAATTTAATAGCAAGGATTAGCCAAACTACTCTTGAAGAAGTAAATATTATGAAAAATTTTTCTCTACTAAATATCAAAATGTCAAATAAAACTGGTAATTGTACACTGTGTTATTGACACAGACATAGGAAAATAAACAGATGGCAAACTATATATCAAAATTAGTTCCAGGCATATATTTACAGTAAGTTTACGACCACGGTGGCATTGTAGCTCAGTGGGAAATGGTGCTGTTGTTAATAAACGGTGTCCCAATGGCGGGGGAGAGAGCAAGGCGGGCATGGGCCTCGTGCCAGATGCAAACTACACCTGCGTGAACAGGCCATGCTATGCCACCTTCATGACTCTGGGTGGTAAAGACTTCTCACACAGATCGTTCAAAGCATTAACCATAAGGAGAAAAGACTGATAACTTCAACTTCATTAAAATTAACAACTGCTGCCCATCAAGCAATACTAAGAGAGTTAAGAAGACAAGCCACAAAAAAATAAACAAACAAACAAAAAAGACAAGCAAGAAAATACAAACAGGTATCCGCAAAGCACGCACTGGTCAGGCGCTCAATTCACAACACAGTTCTTTATTATTTTTAATCCTCACTGGGATATGTTTTTATTGGTTTTTATAGAGAGGAAGGAAGAGAGAAAGAGAGAGAGAGAGATGAGTTGCCTCCTGTATGAGCCTCAACTGGGGATCGAACCCACAACCTTTCGGTGCACGGGATGATGCTCCAACCAACTGAGCCACCCAGCCAAGGCCACAATACCTTTTAATATTTTCTAAAAACAAATAAGACAGGTAATATAATAGAAAAAAAGAAAAAATATCTAAATAGATACTTCAACAAAGAGTAAATACTGATGGACAATAAACATGCAGAATGGCTCATCCTCATTAGTAATCAGAGAAATGCCAGCTAAAAATATGGTGAAACACCACTACCTGCCCACAACACAGGGCAACACAAGAAAGTCTAAATGCCAAGAGCTGCCAAGAGTTGGGCTGGCTTTCCTGTGAACTGCGCGAGTGGTAGAGGCAACCAATTTCCATCAGTCGGACCTCCTGCCGTAGAGCTGAAGCCAGCATAGCCTCTTGCCTATGGATTCCAATCTAAGCATATACTCTGGTCTAAAAACGTCAGGCTCAGAGGCTGCAGGATACGTGAAGAAACAGGCGCAGCCCCAGAGTGCGTCCACATTGGAAGGGGTAAGTGTTGCATCTCAAAGTGGAAGTTAGTCCCCGACAACAAATGTGGATGGACAGCCGTTACCTGGGAGATCTGTGACCGACCTCAGACGTAGCACTGGCAAAAGGAGCAAGACAAACACCACATTTATGGAACCACTAATGCTAATCTACATTGTTTAAGGACACATTCATATGTTAGACCCATAACAGAAAGCAAGAAATCAGTATTACAAGGGTCATGAGATTGCAAGCACCGGCTCTGGCAACTGGAAGTGGGCTAATTGGGAAGAGGCTAGTGGGACTTTTTTGGGTGCTGGTAACATTCAGTCATTTTTAACCTGGTTATTATTAGTTGGATATTTCTTTATAACTTCTGTTAATTTTATATCTGTGCTTTATATCATGCCTGTATGGTGTTATATTTCAAAATAACTAATTTTTTAAAAGTGGGCTCATCAGTGTATCCATGTGTGGAAAAACTCAGTGGCATAGTTTGTGTAATGATATCACCCAGGGTTTGGGAATTAGTGGGTGCAAAATCACTGTTAATTTCCTTGCTTTTCGCCATTCTCGCAGCCCTCTCCATCACCAATCCCGATCAAGGGTGCAACAGACTCCCCGCCTGCCCTCCGCCCCCAAGGGCTCTCCTCTCCAGACCGGCGCTATCGCCCTGGCCTGCCACTCACACTCCAGGAGGGGATGGTTCTCTTCACATACGGCGCTGCAGAGACCATGGTGTTTGAACCTCTGCATCCCCGAGTCCCACTGAGCACTGCTTGGCCCAAAAGGGCAGGGCAAATCCTTCTCACTTGGAGCATCGTCCCATACATGGAAAAGATTGTGGGTTCGATCCCTTCTGGGTGCATACAGGAGGCAACTGGTCTATGTTTCTCTCTCTTGCTCCCTTCTTCTCTCTAAAATCAATGGGTAAAAATTAATTAATTAATTAATTAAATCAATGGGTATATCCTCAGGTAAGGATTAAAGAGGGTAAAGTAGTAGTAGTTCGGTACCTTTGTTTTGGTAAAAATGTACTTTTTCTTCCAACTCTGAGATCCCAAAGCCCATTCCCTGAGAGAAAGTATCCTCCTTTCGCCCTAGCTGGTTTTGCTCAGTGGATAGAGCGTCGGCCTGTGAACTGAAGGGTCCCAGGTTTGATTCCAGTCAAGGGCACATGCCAGGTTACCAGCTCAATTCCCAGTAGGGGGTGTGCAGGAGGCAGTCGATCAGTGATTCTCTCTCATTGATGTTTTTATCTCCCTCTCCCTCTGCCTTCCTCTCTGAAATCAATAAATATATATTTTTTAAAAGAAAGACACTACTTTCCTTTCAGCTGCAGAGGATGGAGAAAAGAATGTAGCAAACTCTTTTTCCTAAGGCGGAGACATCTGGACTGTCATGGGAGCCCTTCCAAGTCTACCTGGGACTTCAGAGTGCAACACACCGACCCCACGCCCTTGAGCCCCCAGAACCCCCAGGCCTGGGGGCTGGCAGGGCAGCTGCCCAGCACTCACCTGGAGTCCCTCTGCGGTGAGCCAGGGGCGTCCTCAGCACTGTGAGAACCACCGTCACAATTCCAGCTGCCACCCAGGGGCTTCTGGGGGTCACAGTCATCTTTCCACATGGAAACCGAGACAACCGCACAGAAGCACCGGCAGTCGGCACAGCTGCCAGCAGCTCACCTGACGTTTCACTTTGCAGAAGATGAAAATGGGGAACCCTTCTCTGAGCCTTAGGATTGGACAGTTCTTAGGATTGGACAGTCAACCCAATAGCTTAAGTTCTCATTTGTCACTGGGTAAACACTTTTAATGAAAGCTCTCAATGCAATAAAAGGATTCCTGGGCCACCTACTGCCCAGCACAAGCCTGTATGCGCTGGAATACGCTCAGGGGTTCAGGAACCAGGACAAGAATGCGATTTGGAGTATTTCTTCGGGAACATTTATTCCATTTCTCTGGTTCTTATATTTAGGGTTTGACAGTAGGGAGGTAGGAGGAAGTGGAATGTCATTCCCCGGGAGAGGAGATAACTAAAACCTGTTTATTTCCTTCCTTGATTTGGCACTGGGACACTGTGAGATATAGTATAAATGATGGAGATGATAGATGGTAGATAGATGATTGACAGATCGATAGATAGATAGATAGATAGATAGATAGATAGATAGATAATAGATAGATGATAGATAGTTAGATAGACAGATAGATATAGATAAATGATAGACCGACAGGCAGGCAGGCTTGGGGAGGAGAGGGGAGGAGGGCCTCTCCGTGTCCCTGTCCCTGCACAGAAGTAGCAGCAGGGGCCTGTGAGCAGCGACAGCCGCAGGCCCAGCCAGGTGGTGCTCAGGGAGGAGAGCAGGCTTCCTGCAGAGAAGTGCGTGGACTGAGGTTGGACCCTCGCGTCCTCCTTGCTCCCTTTCAGGGCACGAGTGAGAAGGTGGCCATGTCCATGGCGACGTTCGGTTACTTTGGTGCCAAGGGGAGAGGATTCAGGCGCAGACTTCCGCAAGTGCTGTTGGGAACACCTCAGGATGTCTGGGACCTCAGCCCCGGGAGTTGTGACCTCAGGCTGGGGAGAGCGGAGCCTCTGGTGATGGGCAGCTAAAAGCCGGCCTTGGTCCTCCAGCTGGCAGCTTCCTGGACCAGCTAGCACAGGCAGGCCATCCACTGGGCACCTGGGGTTTGAGCCTCGCTCCTCGCTGCACAGCAGTCAGTTAGGGTGGGAGGCCCGCGTGGCTGCTCCCTCCACAGCACCGTGGTCTGGAAACAAACAGCAAATGGTGGTTTCAAATATGAGCCCCTAATTTAAAAAAAAAAAAAACACGCAAGGTCGAAATTGCAGAAATTGGTTTGCAGTCAGTCAAGTTGTAATCCACATGAAGAATTCTTATAGCATACTAGAGGACCCGTGCACAGATTCGTGCACTGGTGGAGTCACTTGGCCTGGCCTGCAGGGCTTGGTCCGAAACCAGCTCTCTGACATCCCCCGAGGGGTCCCGGATTGTGAGAGGGCATAGGCCAGGCGAGGGACCCCGCCAGTGCACGATCGGGGCAGGGAGGGACCATGGGAGGGCTCCAGGGTGTGTCCGGCCTGTCACACCCAGTCCCAATGGCCCAGACTCCAGCAGCAAACTAACCTATCAGTCAGAGGGTCTGCCCCCTGGTGGTCAGTGTGTGTCATAGCAACTGGTCAAACGGTCCAATGAGCGGTCAGACACTTAGCATATTAGGCTTTTAATATAGAGGATTCTAGGGTTGATACAGTCAGGAATTTCACTGTCTCCCCAGGAACACCAAAGTAGTGCCTGTGCTTGTGTATCTATGTGTGCGTGTGTGTGTGCGCGCGTGTGTGTGGGGGGGGGGGCATCTATATTCAAATTCAGATCACTGTAAGTGCTAACCAAGCTATTCATCTGGGGAAGAAATAGGAAAGGAGAGAACTCTGACGACTGTGCTCAAGATGGAAGAAAGAAGAGAACATGTCATGTGGATACTGCCGACAGAGAAAATCCTTCCAGTTCTCTGGCCACTGAACTGCCTTAAGGGGAGATGGAGGTGGTGATTGCAGGGAGGGGTTGGAGGAGGGTATGCAGGGATCAATGATGATGGAAAAAATAAAATAAAATATATAGAAAAAAGAGGAGATGAAGTCTTTCAAATAATAACTAAGACTAAAAGACTCAAAATATAAACACTGTTGATATTATACAAATTAGTGAAAGCGGAATCACCTGAGTTCTAGGATTGGCCTCGCCACTTACTGGCTGTGTGGCCCTAATAAGCCACTTAGAACAGTGTGGCCTGGTTTTTCTACTTCATTCTTCCATTAGCAAACATGTGTGATTGGCACTGTTCCAGGCGCTGGGAATACGTCGGTGAAGAAGAAAGGCAGCGTTGGTGCCCCCAGAGCTCCTGCCTCCAGTGGCAGAGCGCGTGGACTGCACTAAGCACTCTCTGTTGTCCCCTCTAGGCCTTCGACCTGATAAGGTGCCCAAGTTCATCGTAGTGACTGGGAAGCTGGCCAGTGCCCTGAGGTCACAGAAGAGCCAATTTGCCAAATGGACTTGCTTCTTGTACCTATTATGCTTTAATTCGCCAGATTTTGTCTTGTTTTATAGAACATTAAATTCAGTTTGTCTTTGACCCAGCTTCCTCTGGGTGAAGACTTCAGTGATAAGGGTGAGTGGGGTGATTACAGACAGCAGCCGGAGATGGATGGGCCCAGAGGGTATTACGTTCAATGAAATAAGCCAATCAGAGAAAGACAAATACCATATGATCTCACTTACACGTGGAATCTGAAGAACAAAGTAAACAAACAAAACAAACAGACTCACAGACACAGAGAACAGACTAGCAGGTGGGATGGGGGTTGGGGGACTGGGTGAAAAACGTGAAGGGATTGAGAAGTACTGACTGGTAATTACAAAATAGTCACGGGGTGTGAAGTCCAGCAGAGGGAACGTAGTCAGTAAAATTGTGATAACTAGTGCCTGGTGGGTACTGGAAGTGTCAGGGGAAACATTCTGTAAAGTATATGATTGTCTAATTATTATGCTGCACACCTAAAACTAATAAATACAAAATAATGTTGAATGTAAACTGTCATTGAAAATATAAAAATTTAAAGTATTTAAATAAATAAATAAATAAATAAATAAATAAGAACTGCAGCGTTGGGTGTGGAGGGTGGCGGGTCAGGGAGAGGCCCAGCAGTGAGGGGGGGAGCTGGGCTGGCAGCTTCGCGCCCTCTGTCCTCCCTTTCCTGAATTTCCTCTCCCACCGCTCCTTTGAGCCTCGCGGACAGGTAATGTGAGAAAGGAAGGAAACGCACAGGCTACCTGGGAAAGCCCCTTACAAACCTGAGTTTCCACGGGGATTCCCTGCAGAGGAAGTTAAAGAAAAAACAACTGAATCTTTGGTCTCGGTCGCCATCTGGCGGTCGAGATGCCACATCACATCCTCGTAGCACCATCTCTGCTCCTGCATTAGAACAAGAGGGCTCAAGTGTAAGATTCTTTCTGGATTTTTCCCAAATGGAATTTTTCTGATGGTTGATCTAAAATCGTGACGGGGTCCCTCGCTTCGACATGAAACCCCATCCTCTTTCAGCTCAGCCCTGGTTTTTCGAGGTTTATTAGACGAGATCTTTCTGACCCCCAAACCCCACCCACAGAGGACCTGTGGCTGTTCCTCCCGCCTTACCTTCGCCTCCCACAGCACACACTGGGGTCTGGGGGAGGGGTCTGTGCTGAGGGAGGGTCTGTGCGGAGGGAGGGTCTGTGCTGGGGGAGGGTCTGTGCCGGGGGAGGGTCTGTGCCGGGGGGAGGGTCTGTGCCGAGGGAGGGTCTGTGCGGAGGGAGGGTCTGTGCGGAGGGAGGGTCTGTGCTGAGGGAGGGTCTGTGCTGGGGGAGGGTCTGTGTTGAGGGAGGGGCCACGTGCTCAGCTGACAAGCTCTGGGAAGGCCTGCCTGACAGCCTTGCAAACTCAGACCCAAAGTAACCACAAAGGATGGTCTGAAAGTAAAAATGTAACTAAAAGCTGTTGTGGAGGGTGGTCATGCCCTAGGCCCGGCTCTTCCCTGACAAGGTCACCCTTTACCTTACTTAAGCCTGGCTGCTGGCTTCCGTGCACAGGAACATCCCTTTCAATGTCATGGTAGCTCCCTTTCCCCAGACCCTCAGGGCATGGCCAGTGCACCAGGGCGGAGACCATAAAACGAGGTGCAGCCCTAACTGGTTTGGCTCAGTGGATAGAGTGTCGGCCTGTGGACTGAAGGGTCCCAGGTTCGATTCCAGTCAAGGCCATGTACCTGGGTTGTGGGCACATCCCCAGTAGGAGGTGTGTAGGAGGCAGCTGATCGGTGTTTCTCTCTCATCGATGTTTCTAACTCTCTATCCCTCTCCCTTCCTCTCTGTAAAAAAAAATCAATAAAATATTTTTTTAAAAAACAACGAAGTGCAAAACCGCCGTCTCCGGAGCCTTATCTCAACCCACTGCCATTCTGCTTCCGGCAGTTGCTGGCAGTTTGGCTCAGATACACTCACAGGAAGTCTCTAGGTTTGCATATTTCTTAGGTTGACATGTGGAAAACAGGAGGGGACAGGTGAAGCTGAGGGTCCCCGATAGGGTCTCACCACCAGGGTTAGGACGGTCACTTTATGCTGCAGGCAGTCGGGCCATTGCAGGGTGAGAACAGGAGAGCAGCCGAGTGTTTCACACCCAGGAAGGACG